ACAGATAAAGCATATATATGTATTTAATTAAATAATATAATATTTACATCTTAACTTTGTATAAAGTGCTCTAAACATCTACCAAATATTTGTTATCTAAAATGTGCAAATTTTTTTTTTTATTGTGAAAATTATAGCAATTAAAACCTTCATTAATTATTTTTAAATCAATTAATTTATTAGATTATACTTTTTTTTTATACTAATGAATGTCAATGTTAATACTTTATGCATATATAGGGATCTTATAAGATAATACTATCTTATCTATTATCTATTATTATCTTCATAACAATATATGAAAATAGGTTGATTACAAATTTCTTTATGTTAATTTCATGTGTATAAGAATTAATGAATCTCTTTGGTTATGAACTGTTATCATTAATTACTTAGATTAACTATTACAAATGTGGATCAATCTAATCTAAAATGATTGTATTATGTTCTACTGAAAGGTTTTCATTGTAATCAAAATGTTAGTACATATTTGTAAACTAATAATGAAGGGCTAGGATTGTATGTTAGTGAGGACTGAATAATGTAACCTTTTATATAGTTGATATTGTATAAAATTTTTCATTAATTGCTTGTATGTGACTTAGTTAAGTAGAAATATTATAATAGTATTATATTTTAATAATATGTATACAGTCTGCCTTTCCTATTGGTACTGATTATATATCTTTCATAATACATATGAAGGATTCTCCAACAAGCATTCATTTTCTAAAGTATTTCATTATATAAATGTAGTTTTAAAGACGTTATTAAGACGTAAATATTATTAATAAATTCATTTAAGAAATAATATATATAATATCATTATATTTATATATCATTACTTTATAAATAAATATTCATTCAAATCGTTTTGAAATCACTTTGAATTATAAATATTGTAATCAGTTTTATAAATAATATCAGAAATAGTAGATAAAAGAAGAAGAGAGGATTAGTTGCTGGACATTTTCACACATTATATTTACTTTTAACATATATCCTAAAAGCTGCTTTTGATTATAGTGAATATGGACTGTTTAAAAACGTATGATTAAGACTCGTTTAAACAAATGATCATAAAAAACTTACTATGGTTCAAAAACTTAATAAATTAGGTTAGGCTTAAAGTTGGGGTCTGATAATCAGACGGAATACCCATAAAAGTAATCATACTGCTAGAAAACTTAAAACGTTGTGCAAACAACAAATTACAGAAAGCAATTTGTAACTTAGCAATATAAAAGGAACTGGATCCCTACGTAAAATATACTCATATCTAAGAAAGCATTAAAATATGACCATTAAAAACAAATTGACACTATATAATCCTCTTACGTTTTATCTGCCTAATAGGTTATGTGTCTAAAAAATGTTGGATGTTTTGTTAATTGTAAATATTTAAAAAAGAAAAAAACATAATAATATAAGTTAGGTGGGTTTTATAAGGAATCATTTGTTATTTTCTGTTTTTGGGTCCCTATCGAGCAACAGTAGAAACGATCAATCATAAAATTTACTGTTATCAGCTGGACAAACTAAATGCTTCGAAAAGAACTTATCACTCAAAAAGAAAAGATAAGAATGAAAGGGATCAATAGAAAAAGTGTGGTGTTCCACCAAGATATTGCAAGACCGCATATAAATTTTTTAGCTTTCAAAACCTTTTACAGTTTGGATGGAATGTATTGTTATAAGCTTCATATTTCTTAGATCTCGTCCCTTCCGATTGTTATTTATTTCGGTTACCACAAAATTTTCACATGATAGGAACTTTACTTTGATAGAGTCTTTGAACAGTTTTTTACCAGCAAAAAACGTATAATCATGCTTATACCGGGAAGATGGTAAATTATACTAAACCAGAATGGACAATTGGGATCATAGGTTAGGTTAGATTATACCGGTGATATCCAGGGGATTCAGTTAGATCAGGTGGTCAATTCATATTATAATAAAGAAAAGTATCTAAAATTTAGACTTTTTATTTATTGCTTTTTATTTATTCAAAGTTTATTTAAAAACTTATTATTTATTATTCAAATATATACATATGCAATTTAAAAATAAAAACCAATTAAAAAAATTAAATTGAAGTGGTTTAATATGTAAAAATTATTCCTTGGGTATTGTACAACATTTTTTATTAACAATACTTTATTATATTAATATTCAAATATTTTATATATTACTTCATGTTTTTTTTAAATTTTATGTTGAATGCTTTTAATGGAAAATTCTTCGCCTGTACCTTTTATTTTCATGGAAAAAAGGAGTAGTGCACTGCGACCCAAAAGAACTATTGTGTTCCTTAGAGTGATTAGAGTATTACAGTGTATAGAGCCTATCTTTCTTAGTTTTAGATCCTTATGATCCATTAGAGTGGATTAGAGTGTTAGAGTATTAAAGTGTATAGAGCCTATCTTTTCTAGTTTTAAATCCTTATGATCCATGAAATACACTCCTAGGTGTTTCTTCTGCTTGTACATTAGTGCCGGGCACTACCAAAGCAGATGGAATGCAGTTTCTCTCTCTTCTCTACAGTATCTACAGTCTGAATTTGATTGCATTCCTAACTTCGATATATTCGCCTGTAGGTAATGTGGTAAGATTGTGTTAATTTTTCTTCATCAAGATATATAAGTGTAAATGCTAGAGCTTACCACCTATTTTTTTATGTAATTAATATAGAATAACTCATGAAAATACTTAATTAATTGTTGTTAATAAATAATATAAAATATGAAATAAATCATAAGAGAAAAATATTATAAGAAAATTATTCATGATTCAAAAACTTTATGCAAAAAAAGTATCTCAGTTTAATTAATATAATTATAAAATAAAAAATTATTTAAGCTAACAAATACTTCTTATATATACAATAAATAATATACAATTAATATGCTTTAATGAAATTTACAATGAAAATTCTAATTATAAAACAGTGTCATTTGCATTTGATAAGAAGTGCACTTTCAATCACTCAAACGTGCAGTGATAAATCTCATACACAATTTCAGTACTAAATGTGCAACTAAGGTTTTATTAGACATATCACGAAATATTATTATTTGTTATATATATACAATATATGGTATTTTATATAAATAGCATAACACTGCTTTTAACATTTATTATCTATTGTTTGTTTGGCCACCTTCGATGTCTCAAGGCACATTATAGTCATTACTTAAGCGTTTTCTCTAAGTGGTGATATGGATTTTGCTATTACACATTTTTACATCGACATTCCACATTTTCGTACCACACAAAATAAATCCGAATCGTTAAAAAAATATAAATTTATTATAATATATATTTTTTTATATTTTTATTATTTAAGTCCCAAAAATGTTTACAAATTTTACACATTTAGAGTAAAATTAGAGAAAATAAGTTCTTATTACGATTATATATATTAATATGCACAATTTCTCTATCAAACTCAAAACAGCTGCACAAAGAAGTGTAAAAGGTAAGTTTGTCCTTTTTCCATATTCAAAATGTTTAAGGATATTTAGGATATTTGCCAAGAATTGTGTAGGTGTTCTGGATGATGCTTTTGTGTTAAGCGCTTAATTGAAAACAAATAAAAAATATATAACACAGCAAAATAAAACTTTTAAAAAGGTTGCAATTCTTCTTCCAACATTTTTATATAAAATTTATAAGTTCTCTCTAAGTTTTCAGTATTAAAACTCGTTTAACGTAATTTAATAAAAAGGATGTCTCATATTTTTCCGACTCAAAATATTTAATTTTAATTTTTTAAAGACCCAATTAAAGATTTCTACGGACATTATAGAGTAAATAATTTTTTCATTACCTTGTGATCTTAACTTTACTCGAAAATTGAAAAGGCATACAATGGATCAATCAAAGCTTACTAGGTTTTACTTCTTTACTTAAAACTACTCTTGCATGGTGTGTAATATATACTACATATAGTTATAAAGTGTGTCACAGAACAGATAATGGTAAATATATATACTATAAAGAGGTTTTTTCAAAAAGAACTGAACTACAACAACAAAAATTCATTCTTATATTATTTTAATTAATTGAATTTTTGGCTGACTATACATGTCAACTGTTTCGAGTATTACCAAATACCCATCATCAGTGGTCTTGGAATTATTTTTTATATTTATGTTAACTATTAGTAAATAATTTTTTGAGACTGCAAGTACCA